GAGAGAGAGAGAGAGAGAGGGGTGTTTTGATGAAATGTTTTATTTGAATGACTTCTGCCTTTTACTCAAATTTGATTGAAATCAAATGATTGAAGAGAGGGATGATTTTTAATCATACCAATATGTATTTTTGAGAATTTGTGTATTTCACCCAAGATTGATTGTTCATCTTACCTGCTTTCATCTTGTGAATTTCAGGATGCAAAGCCCGATTGTTGATTTTAGTATGTTTTTTTTTTTAACATGATGAATCGGTTAGATAGGTTACGAAGGTCGAATCAGCGCATGCTCGACCCAGAGTTAAAATAACAATGTATCAGAAGAACTCAAGTGATATTGAACGAGGCCTGCCCCAAGATTCTCTTTGCTTGTTAAGCGCTCTGTCTGGCGGCAACATTTTACCCAATCTTCTTTCATAATTCTGGAATGTCTCACATAGACACTTCCCTCTATGAATTCTCATTAGGTTTCATTTCCAGTGGATCCCCCAATTTGAGTGTTTGCTGAGGCTGCCTCATGTTGGACTTCAATCCTGCCTCGTTTGATCATCTGCCTCCGCGGGTTAATATTTTAAAGCGAGACAAACAATCTTGTTTGTTGTGCTGATCCGCTTTGCATGCTTTTTGGAACCATGACTTATATCATGACCAGCACACGCACACACACACACACACACACACACACACACACACACACACACACACACACACACACACACACACACACGCAAGTGCACACACGCACGTCATAGTGGTCAACCACAGATTGCCTCAACAGGAACTCACCCTCGGAGTTCTTCCCATAAGCAATGCCGTGTGGGTGGAGGTTGTGCGGTTCTGACGCCATATTTCGGAAGGTGACCACTAGGATCTCATCCTGCTCGGCCCTCAGAGTGGGTCCAAGCAAACCTGCCAGCATGGGAAAATTGAATTAATCAATAAACATTCATCCCAACCTATTCATGTTTCTCTCTTGAAACATTTTCCAATCTGGGGCCTCAGAGGGCCCCACTAAATTCATGAAAAAATATGATAGAACAATCTAAGTAACGACTTATTGTGATATCTAGTTAAGATGTTTATACTTACTTTGTTATCTTTGGCACCAGGACAAAATATCAATTGCAGTATTATCCATGCGTACATTGATGCTGTCATCAGTGAGAATGAATGAAGTCTTTTTTTCCATTATGTCTATGATTGAATGTGTGCTAAAGTATCATGATATCATCACAGACAAGCCAATCCCAAAATATTGTGTTGTAGTGTTTTCCTGTCTACAATGGTAATCCAAAACAACATGACACACACATTTCATTGATAAATGACCATGCTTTAGTGCAAGCAATTTACCTTGAAGTTGGAGATTTGTGATGTGAAAATAATGACAACATTAACATTTACATTGAAACATTTACTGTATATACAGTATGTTACCTAATGAGGGGTCATGATCCTTTGCCTGTTTGAAATCTTTCTCATACTCCCGGAAAACCACTTTCTTGTACGTGGGACTGAACCTGAGGAATAGGAAGCAAATAAATAAATAATAAAGAAACAAAAAAACCTCAGTGGGGAAAAGCCATGCTGTCCCCACGTGTTGTATCAACAAAAGATATGGAATCGGTGCCAGTGAGGGCATCTCACAATATAACCAGGACAGAGTGGATTGTTTTCATCACTTACAATCATTCTGACAAGATTCAATGACAGACTCTAGGCGGGAGTTGATGAAATGATGTACTATGAATAACTGCAAGAAGACGTCTAATTGCCAAGACAGTGCAACTTCCAAAATCAAATACTGTACATGGACTGGAATTCTCAGTCCAAAACTATCATGATAAAGGAAATCTCATGTGACTTCAGTTCAGTAAGCATCTGGAGGGACTGGTGCCGATGATGGCAAAGAGTATCAGGGTGATTTATTTTAATATTTCCACAGTTTTGAAATTTTGATTTGTGGATTTCAGTCAGATTGGAATTTTAATTTCATTTCACTACAAAATGCATCTGATATTTTTTCAAATATTATATTGTTATGACGTTTGTCAATTTCAGTTCGTTTAATTTTTTTTTTAAATAATTGATTTGCGTTTCTCACTCCTTACATTTTTTTAATTAAAAGATGAAAGTTCACATAAGTGAATGCTGTTTTTTGTTTTTTTTTTTTACAACCAATCTTTAAACAAATGTTTTTCCTTTTTACTAAGCTTTTTTTGGTGTGTTTTGTGTCGTGACCACAGGAGTGTAACAGTAATATCAAAGCGGAGCGTGAACCATAGAACAGGAGGTTTCAAAATAGGCGCATGTCAAACGGCACTGGGTGACAGTGTCACTCTGCAATGACCGTCTCATGTCTGTCTAAAGGTGAGTAGTTTTACTTTACTTTATTACAGTGCTCAACTTGGGTTTTAGGCTTCTGACAATTATTTAAACTGTCTGGGGAATAAAGTTATTATATCGGGGACAACTTTGAAAGGACTGTTTCATACAATTGTCAACATCACGGAACAGTGTGTGCTCCGTTTTGAATGGTCACTTGCAATAATTAACAATGTAATAGTGAAGTGGAAACATTTGTGAGTGTACCGACCTGTGTGTGTCATTGCCATTGTAGTTCCAGTCAATCTCCACAGCAGCGATGTAATATTCTCTTTTTTTGACTTGGTCCTGCTGGTTGGCTCCGACGTGGACAGGCGAGGAGGCCAGAAGAGCCAGCAGCAAAATTGAAAAGAGACCTGGATCTCCAGTCCAGACACTAAGCCTCATGTCTGAGTGTGATCCTTCCAAAAGTGCGTCCGCTCTGTTCCAAAACTATTCAGGCTGTGCTGTATACGTGTATGTGTGTGTGTGTGTGTGTGTGTGTGTGTGTGTGTGTGTGCGCGTGCATATGCGTGTGTGTTTGTGTGAGAGAGAGAGACACAAGAGTCCACTAGGAGCTTTATCTCTATTGATGCATACACACACCAGGGCAGTGAACCATGTATATTTATTCTCTCTTAATTGAGCCTCATATGCAGTGCAGTGACTCATAAAGTATACATGCTTGTACATGTATCCCTGCATGTATACCATTTTTTTTTATTGTATGATATAGAGACTTTTGGGAGGATAATCATGCTAAAGTCTAAAATGATTAATGAAAACTATCCGCCAAAGTGGGCAGCACAGTGATCGACTGGTTAGACAGTACGTCCGCCCGCCTCACAGCGCAGAAGTTCAGAGTTCGATTTCGGCTCTGTGTGGAGTTGGCATGTTGTCCTCGTGCCTGCGTGGATTTGCTGCAGGCGCTCCGGTTACCACCCACATTCAAAAAACATGCGTTGGGTGTTAACGGAACACTCTCAATTGTCCCTCAGTGTGAGCGCGAATGTTTTCTTCGTCTATGTGTGCCCTGCGATTGGCTGGCAAACAAGTCAGGGTGTACCCCGCCTACTGCCCAAAGACAGCTGGGATGGGAAGTTTTTAATTTTTTTTTATATACTTAACTGTACATTTAAAATAATGATTTGGCACATCCAATGCTTTCAGTAATATGAAAATGTCTTTTCACCGGTTTTATTTTATTTGTATTGTTTTCATTAGCATCAGTGGCATTTATTTATTTAATTGTTTATCTTTATTTTATCCATCAATCCTCTTATTAATAAATATGTGTATGGATGTACGTATATATGTATGTCCTGATTACAGGATAGTCAGTTTAGAAATCTATGATCTATAATAACTAATGACTAATTGTGTGATTGGTTTATATATATATATGTATATATATATATATATATATATACCGTCTTTATTACCGATTTGCTTTACTGTTTGTTGTATATGTTAAATTGCTCCATGTACAG